TAATATTACGGGTTAAAAATACTTTAAAAAAAAACTAACCCAGAAGGCAAGATTCGGAGGATACCACATTTTGTGCTTGCACAACATGATCACAAAATTTTGGAACCCAAACGCAGCAACAATGATACCTTTAGTAGGGTATTAACAAGCTGCTCCTTGGAAAAGGGGATGTATCGCTCCCGATAATCCACTGTCCAGTTCTGTGGTTGTCTTGGTTTCCGCATCTTCCGGTATTGCACCATTTTAGCAGCTAGGGAGGCTTTGCCGCGGGATGGCAAGCCTGTAACCCCAGCCTTTAGGATTAACCTTGCCATATACAGCATTCTAGGAGAGTTCAAAGATCCTCAATCAATACAACAACCAGCAAAATTCACCTTCAACTGTTCTTCTAATGGATCCCTTATGTTGTTAGCATGGTAGAGGCGATGCATACCATGGCCAGGAGAACTAAAGCAGTGTCTTTTCAAAATGGCTATCAAAGGCTTAGCTGAGCCAAGGAGACCAAAATCCACCACTGGAAAGGCTGCTGGTGATTAGCACCTGGACCAGCATGAAGCAATTCTGCACCATTGGATCAAGTCTACTAGTTTACATGGATTTAACCCAGATTAAATTAGGCCAATAGAATAGGGTCAAAAATCAATCGTGGACACAAGTGTTGGCTGAAATTATGTTAAATACCAGACATCGCCACTCTACACGACGTCTGCACAAATTTTATCTAAACAGTTGTTTCCTCTCCATGTTTCATAATAAATTAAGCTTCTTTTGTAGCCAGCTTAAAACAGAGGCAGCGTAAGGGGCAAAGCCAGCATGCAAAGCAATGAGCTCTAACCTTTAGAGAACTGACATTGACACTACTACGCATGCGTACGTCTCTACCAGCCTTTCGTTTTTACAGCTACTTATGCATTCTCGGGGGCGGGGCTTTCTTTTCCGCAGGCGCACTCATGCTTCAGCTTCTGCCCTATTCGCCGCCACGTAGCGTGCTCGCGAAGCGCGTTTCTATCGCTAAGATCGGTAAAACCGGTTTCTAGTTAAAGGTGGAGAGAGAGAGACTATGTCGTACACCATCGTCGTTTCTATGAATGTTTCCGGCTTACAACCGAAAAAGTTTTCCCTACCGTCTGACGTCCAATCAAAAGCGATATAACGGTTTCACCATAGAGATGTTCTGACTCAGAGCGTCCTTAGAGGAGGACGGTTCCTTTCATTTTTTTGATCGGAATTTCCGCCTGCATGCCAGTCTAGCGTTTTTCTACTCTGTGGTATATTTTGCGTGCGGACGAAGGAACACTTCACACCCAGAGAATATTGTTTTCTTTAGTCTTTCTGGGAAAGGACTATAAATTCTGTAAAATAAATGTCGCTTTCACGGACCGACACACGACCTATCCCTCTTTATGAACAGGCGTAAGAAACGCGCAGGCGCGTATTTTAGGCCGCTGTGTTCGGTTTGCACGCGCGCACAACTTTGGGATCGCGGCGCCCTACCTTCTTAGCCCAACTGTCATTTCCAACCGCCTCTCTGAGCGCGAGTGCTAGAAAGGGGGGGCGTGGCCTCCTGGCCCAGCCAATCAGGCATCGAATTCTCTCACACGTTTTTCTTTCTCTTCCTACTTTGTGTGGGGCGTACAGACCTCTGAAAGGCGGGAAAAAACGAAGCCTCAAAGGGCGTTTGTGAGGGAGAAGGTCGTTTGCTGTCAGAAATAACTGCAAAGGAAAGGTGGCCGGTATGCGTGTGTTTATGGTCCTATAGTAACTTGCGCCTTCACCTTTATCCGTAACTGGGAAGCAAGGCTCAAAAGGTCAACTCTCTAGTACCAAGCAAGGTACTATTGGACTCGAATCTTGCTTTTGTGCTGCATAAACATCGCTAGCTACCTGGAACTATTTCTAGTACCAAAAATCTTGGCGTAACGGTTAGTCTGATACTAGTGTGTAGTCTGCTTTGCCTTTGCCCCAAAGAGAGAAGGCAAAAGTGTTGGCATACCAGTCTAGTGGGAAAGACAGAAAACACTTTCCAAGACTTCATCATCGTAATGAAGTAGTTTTGAGGTGCCGAGACACTTTTATATTAACCCTTTCAATGCTCATGTTCACTCTTGTGTTTATTATAATAGTTATAAAACAGTCCAGTATTATTTTCCCACCCCTTATTCTTGAGGTCAAGAGAGAGTGAGCCAGTTGTCTAAGGATACCTACTGAGTTTAACACATTTGAACCAGAGACCTCCTGGGTTATAGTTCGTTTCCTTCATTTTTTTTTAGCCATGGTGCTAATAACCGGGTCTGATAGATAACACTCCAGCCAGGACAGTCCCTGTTTCCTGTCATTTGGCCCTGGCAGATCACTGCTCGCTCTCTCTTTTTTTGCCTTTGGAGAAAACTTTGTTAAAACTGTATTTGTTGCTAGTGTGTTGGCACACTTCAGGGTCAATAACAACAATATAAAGCACAATTACCTCCTTTGGTTTTTCAGAACACCATAGGACAGGCTGTTGTAAAGTAATACAGCACTCTAGGGTGTAGCATTTTTGGGCAATGAGTAATGGGGTAGCAATCCTTGGTACGGTCAGCTGGGCTAAAAATATGTTTTCTTCTGAAATGTTGGCAGGTATGGTGAGCTAGAACTTGTAGACGGTGCCTGGACTCACATTTGCCTCATGGAGTTTACAATATTGTTCCTTTATGCTGTGGTGAAGTAAATGAAAAGTGCACAGGCATGTGGATTTTCTTCTGATCCTGTTATGGCGAAGGGACTTAGCTAGGATTACAGTGAGCATTTCACTGAGAAATCTGAAGGGAACAACAGGTCTAGCCCTTCATGACAGTTGTGGCATGGAAGAAGTGATCAGGAAAATCACAACATTTGGGTCTCTGCTGGTGTTACAGAAACCAGAAAATGCTCAGACATGTAGAATTTCAAATATAAAGAAAATTAGGAGCCAGAAGATACTCATTATTTTGCTTCCTGAGAATTACAGGGAATTCACAAAGAACAAATTCAAGCACTGTTTGAACAACACTAGTTTGCATATTAGGGCTTCCCTGCAGCATGACGTACTGTCCCAAATATTGTTACTTAAGTTTACCAAGTCCTCTCCCCCAACTGATGTTCACATGTCTTTCATATAAAATTACTTTGGAATAAACGAGATCCCCTAGAATTACAACTGGCTGCTTTGGAAGGTGGACTGCATGGCATTATACCCTGTCAAGGTCTCTTAAATAATAAATAAAAATAAACTCCACTCTCCCAGGCTCTACCCTAAAATCTCTAGGTATTTCTGAACCTGGATTTGGAATCCTACCCATAACATTAAGCAATACATGGGTATTTCCATGTCATTTAAGTTCTGGACTAAATCTGTGACAGTTAAAGTACCAAATGCATAGCCTTATCTCAGGAGGATTGTCAACAGATGTTCCTAGATCTTTGTATGTGTGTTTTGGCAACCCAGATAGGGTAGTTCTCAAGATCTGTAACGAGCACACTATGACCAATGCAGTTTCAAGACAAAAAATCTATTAGCTTTTCTTCTGGTCAAGTTTCTTCAAACTACCGTAATTATTGCATTAAGGTTGCCTAACCAATATGACTGGCTATTAAATTAAGCTTTGCACAAGCAGAATTGTCAGATAATATAAGTGTTATAAGAATTGCCATATAATATAAACTTCAAATCAATTAAAATTAAATTTTAGCAAACACAGCAGATCAAATATATGATCTGAATAAAATCTTGGAATATTGTAAAGGTGTACTTCTTTTTGTATGACTGGTCTAAGGACTGCAGAAATAAACTGAAATTGAAATTGATCTGAATAGACATCTGAATAGTCATGCTAAACTGAGTTTTATTGACTTGTCTTTCAATATATATATATGAGTACAATTTAGAGAAAAATTCAGATAAAGACATTTTTTCCTGAGGACATTTTGGGAAGTGCTAAAAAAACAAAACTATGAGATATTGTCTTTTGGAATAAGTTAAATGCTTTTTAAGAGAAGGTTTTGCTCACTTACAGTGTACAGTATGGAGATTCGAATGTAAGTATTAGAGAATAATTTCTGTGTATACTGTAGATGTATAACACTTAAATCCAAGGTGTGTTTCTGTGCTTCATCAAGAAGACATTGTCATCATTTTGGGTAGAGCAGACAAGGCCTTACTCGCAATTGCTGCTTGACTTCTTCTAATGATTATGATCTTAGGTTAGTGAAGAAAGTAGAAGCTAGTGCCCTGAATCTGTTGTCTTCTTTACCTGGCCCTCTGTGATCAACGTTTGAAGCACTCTCATCAAAGGATTGACACAAGACATCCGCAGACTAGAAAATAAGCTGCTTGCGGCCTTGCCTCCCTGGAGGCAATGCTAGCATTTTCAGGGATATTGTTTAAATATGACCAATTTTGTCCACAATCAGTATATTATAACATGAGTGATAACTGAACAGTTCAACGTTTTCAATGTTATAAAGTTTAACTCAAAATCAAAATATGCTGCTACTGTAGTTGTGACTGTCTGTGAAGGGTTTTGCCCAAATAACACCCTTTCTTTTGCTTGCTACAAAGTGATGCATTTCATGTTGTTAAAGCAATAAAATAAGTTTAGACTGGATAAGAAAGCAAGTATTGCATATATTTTAATTTTTCCTCAGATTATCCGCCAAAAAAGTTTATTTTTAAACCCTGTATTTTACCCATCCCCATGGTTTCAAAATGCCTGGGAGTTTTATATCTCTGGTTGTGAGGGTAAACTGGAGATGGGGAGACCTATGTATGCCATTCTGAGCTCCTTGGATTTAGTGTAGGATAAAAACAGAAAGCTAAATGGGTGGGTATTGATGAGCAGTAGCTTGTTATGGGTTTGTCATATCTCATATCTCATAAAGGTAGTATAACATTCTTCTATTTTCTTAGTTCATGTTTCCCAACTTCCTTTTACAGCATCTGTCAAGATCAAGGTTTGTTCTAGAGACAAAAGGGCAACCACAGGATGAGGAAGGCAGTCTCAACCTTGCAGGATTTCTCAGACCATGACATGGTGCAGTTCTTCTTAAGACCGCAGATCATTACTAGAACATTAGCCGGGGTGAGAAGAAAAGACAGCAAAATTAAATGGCAGCCTCATAATTTCTAAATGAAGATTACACATACCCACAGGCTCTGTTTTCAATCAGAAAGAATTCCATCAACAGTCATTTTCATAACAAATACTTATTTTAGAATAGTATTTACAAATGCTAAAGGAAGCTATAGGACACACAAAAGATAGCAGACATTTTCTCAGGCATTTTCAAAGTGATGTTCATCCATATCTGCAAATATGGATTACATAGAAAGTATACTATCCTGATTGTCCTTCCTCACATCTTTATCACATCTATAAGATATTTACAACATTTAGTTTTTGTTCTCAAGTACGTAAAGTTTTACAGTTATACTTTGCTTGATAGCAAAAAACCAAGGGTTTCTGTGAGGCAAAGCTCCCCGAATCCTCTCAAGGATTAACATGAATAGTAACAGCTTTATTCCATCTTGCAGGTGTTGCTAATTAGGTCTTTCTGCCTACATAGCCCTTATCATCTTCAAGGCCAGAGTTTGAAATGTGGTAATTAGCTTCTCATGAGAACCTGTGGCCCATAGGGTGGGGGTGATGAGGAGGGTTCCAGCAGGAACCTGATTGGGTGTCATTATCACCTAATGCTTCTTGGCCAAGAAACTATAACTGAGCTAAGAGCCTGGAGAAAGGAGGCTAGCTTGGATTCTAATGGACTAAAGACCTAGACTATGATATGCTCATATTGCAATAGACAGCAATGTAGAGAATGCATAAGCTATGGCTGACTCTTGAACTTAAGGTTTGTGCCATCTAACGCAGGTCTTGGAAACGTGTTAAGCTAGTTTTTCTTTTTCTTGCTGTGTGATTTTAGAGTGCTGTGTTGCCTGTAGATTAAATATTTTGTTCTGAAAGATCTTAAATAAAACTTTATGTAATTAAAAAAAAAGTTTGGCTACTTGTGTACATCAGCCCTGGGAACCTACAGAGTTCAGCCTTGGACTCCTTGACAGTTTTAATCCTATAAAGAACATGAGTACTTGGATAGATTTCCTGGAGCTGATGTGTACATTCTTTTTCCACCTCCATGTAAATGTGGGTAATCAACACTAGTATACAAATTTCTAGCTGTACATCTATTCTATGTCATTTGAATGTGAGGTTTGTTCTGTTTGTGTTACTACTTTGGTATTTAAAAGATAATAATCCCTTAGATAATAGACAGTATAATTAAAAATAAGTTAGTGTAGGGATTCCCAATGTGGCATCCATGGGATTTAAAAAAATGTGCTATGATAACAACTGCCATCACAGCACTAGGATATTGCTGAAGGTATGTTAATTTTAAAAGGTAACCTGGTAAGCAGAGCATTTGTTTGAAATGTTGAATATTTACCACTAGAGTTATGCATAACCTTACTTCCTGACATTTTGTGGCTGGCTCTGCCTCTTGTGATAGCCATTTTGTGATTGTGTCCACCACACTGTGCCAGAATTCCATAGGCTCAAAAAAAATTGGTCGTCCCTGAGCTAATGCCTGCTAAAATCTTAGGTTCGATGGCTTAATTTGAAGGAAGAGATTCATATAGATGTCACAAATGTGTCCACGTCTGCAGAGAAGCAGCGACTTTCACTAGGGCAACATGGTGGATGGAGGAGTAATTCTCCAGTGGTCCAGGGTGGGGCAGTCTAAAATACTGGGAAAAGCTTCTCCCTATAGGCAGGCAGGGTTGCCGATCTCTTTTGCAATTCTTGAAGGGGAGGGGTTTTTCTCTCAGGCCCGTTTTTGGCCCTGCCTCAGGCAACAGGATGTTGGCTGTTCTCCGTCTAGAGCACTACAATTCCGACTTTATTTTCTATTTTCTAAGTCCTCTTAACTTTCTAAGTTTTCCCTTGTTTGCCTTTCTTTTCTTCCTCGGAGATCCATCAGGGAGAGGGACGGACTTTGCCCCTGGCACATGACACGTCTTCAGCAGGTGTAGAAGGAACTGAGAGCTACTAGCAGCAGCAGGGCTCTCTCCCTCCAATTCTGGTGCTTCCCAGGATCTCCCTAACCACAGGGTCTCCAGCCTTTGGGCCGGGAGCTTCCCCAGTCACTCTCTCTACAGGATTGTTTGCAGCTACCACTTTGGAGTGTGCCAAGCCCTCCATGCAGTTTCGAATCCTCACAGGGTTGGCTGCACACAGTGGAGGTTTTTCCTCCAGCCCCCCTTGAACTTCTGAACCCCAGTAAGAGGGGCCCTAGCTAAAGCCCTGGGTGGGTTCTTTATTAGTTTGTGTTTTTAAAAAGTGGGAAATGGTGACATAGATGGCCCTTTCCAAGTCTGGTCCCCTGGATAACACTGCCTCTAGCCTTGAGCTCCCCTCCTCACTCTCTCAAGCCTCTCCACATGGGTCCCAACATGGGTCCAAACTGGCAGGTATTCCTGTTTTGGACCCTTTAGGATAATGCTCAGGCTAATCACCAAGCCTGGATTAAAGGGAAAAATGAAAAGAGAAATTAGAGAAGCCATCTCACAGACTATTCCTAAACCTAAGAATTCCTCCATTTCTCTTAGTAGACATAGTGCATCAGGTAGTAAGGGGAAGGATAGGTCCTCACACTCTCTTCCCTACCCTAAAAGAAGGAGACTGGATCGTGCCCTCCCCGCTGCGCGGGCTCAGGAACAGGACTCTTGGGATATGAGGAACAGGACTCTGAATGCTCTGATTCTTCTTCTCATAAGGAACAGGGTGAGCTATCGGATGAGGAAGAGCCCATAGTCACCACTGTGCAGACTTGGCTTTTCCCTCAGGAAGTTTTCCACAAGATCCTTCCAAAAGTATTATGTATCCTGAAAATTCCAGTGAATAATAAAGAGGTGGAAGCACTTGATCCAAGTAAACCAGCAGGTTCTGTCAGAGCCTTCCCAAGAACAGGGTTGTTTCCACTCGGGATTCCCTTCCCAGCGGTGTTTGATAAGGTGGTACAGGCTGAATGGGAGTCCCCAGCCAGACCTAAATCAAATCATCCCATCATCTCTAAGTTTTGTTCTCTGGTACCAGAGGCAGCTGAGTGTTTCAGATTGTCATTGGTAGGTGACCCCGTTGCTAGCTTGAGTTCTAATTCAGTCCTACCTGCGGAGGCAGATGAGGATCCTTGCAACTGAAGAATTGAACAGTGACTGCGCAAAAACCTTGAAGCTTCTTCGACCTTACTCAGGGCTTCCATAGCAAGCTCTCTTTTTGCCAGATCTCTCTACTCTTGGACTTCAGACCGTTCAGCTGCAGATAGTGACATACCTAAAGACTTAAAGGATGATTGAAAGAAGATTGTCTTAGTGGCCTTCTCAGCAGATGCTTCGTTGGATGCAATTCAGCTGTCAGTTAGGGCCATTCAAATGTCACCACCAGGTCCAGGGCACCTTTTGAACCCATGGCTACTTGTCCTCTTAAGAAACTCACCCTTAATGCCATTTTTCTTTTAAGCATCACCTCAGCCAGGAGAGAGTCATAACTTAGAGCTCTCTCAGTGGACAAGGAGCTGTGCATATTCCATAATGATAGAATAGTGCTTCGCCCAGATCCAGCCTTTGTCCACAAGGTCAATTCCACCTTTCATAGGTTGGAGGACTTGATTCTTCCCTCTTTCTGCCCTAATCTCAAGCATCCTCAGGAAAAGGAGTGGCATTGTTTGGATGTGAAGAGGGCCTTAAGCTTTTACCTTGATAGGACTAAGCCCTTTCGCAAGACGGACTCCTTGTTTGTTTCAGGAAGACTTCCCTAGGATACAGGGTCTCTACATCTACTGAAGGCTGTATAATTCTCGCCTACAAGTCTGCAGGTTTAGATCCTCCAGGTGTTATGGCACGCTCCCTTAGAGGGGTGGCAACCTCAGCAGCATACAGATCCTTTCCCTCCTTAGAGGTCATTTGCAAGGCTTCCACTTGGAAGTCTGTCCACTCCTTCACCAGGCACTACAAGATTGATAAACTGGCCTCTGTGGAGGCTGCCTTCAGAAGGAGGGTCCTGCAGCATGCCGTCTTGGTCTAGGAGCCAGGTCTTTCCTTCCTAGGGACACACTTCTTTTCTATGTCCCAGAAGTTTAGACTACCCCACACTGGATTGTTCGAGAATGGAAGATTTATCTCACTTACCATGAATCTTCCTTCTTGGTGGTCCAGGGATGGGGCAGTCTATTCCCACCCAAGGGTGGTTTCTGGATTCAGCTGCTGGTATGGAGGAAGCATGCTGTCTGGTCCTAGGACTTCCTCAACTTTCTATCATCCTTCCTGTTCCAGGTGCGCTCCTGGGGAGTGTTTCACCTTATATTTGATGTTTGTGTCTCACCTCCACACTGGTATGTGGTTTTTCTCTTCTGTTTTTTAGAAGTAGTTATTGGTTCTGGTTAAAAAATTTTGGAAGAGGGAGTTTGATTGCTTCAGAACCAGACTGGGGCCTGAGAGAGGAGCCCGTTCCCTTCAGGAATCGTGAAAGAGATTGGCGACCCTGCCTGCCTATAGGGAGGAGCTTCTCCCAGAAGTTTAGACTGCTCCACCCCTGAACCACTGCGAAGGAAGATTCACGGTGAGACAAATCTTCCGATATCTGACTTCCTGCCCTTCAACTTGATGCCTGCTCTGTGCATTTCAGTTCTTGGAGTGGTTACAAATATATGATGGATTAATTGTAAAAACAGGCATAAGTAACACCTTAGAAGTCTCATGATATGCTAACACCATTCATGTTGAACTGCTCTGTTTCCTCTTTCAGGTTTTCTCTTTGACTGTATTTGCCTCCTTGGTGAATGAAGGGTACCAAAACCTGGTAACCTCCTCAGAACTACACTGTGTGCTGAATGAAAATGATGCAGCATGCTGCTATGGTATTACAGTGGGTGCACTCTCCTTCTTCCAGAGCCTTCTGTTTTTGGGTTTTGATATCTTCGACAACACTGTGACTAGTTACAAGTTCAAGTATGCCATTCTTGTATTGGATGTCACCTTCTCCAGTAAGTAGTTTTCCTTTCTCACAAATCCATTGAATGACAGTTTTAGTATGTTCAGTTACTGGTGGTGAGGGGCCTAATACAACTGCAAGGTGTTCTGTGACAAATCTAGCTTCTTCACACATTCTCACCCCAAAACCTATAACTGAAGCAATTCCCATTTAACTTCTTTGCCTCTCACAAAACCTTTCCTTATATCTACTAACCCTAACTTTCTGTTTTCAACAAATTATCATTACTTGTTCTGCTATCATTTCCATTGCAGCTTCTTACCATTTGACAGGGATGGGTATTCAGGGTATTGACAATTATCCCACTAAGACGTCAAACTATAGAGAAGCATACCGGCCCCCTTTTTAAAACAGCAGAGCTACAATCTATAAATTGGCGCAAAGCTACTGCATTGCTTTATTTTATGTCTTCCTTTAAAGATCCCTTTTACCTGTAGTTGACCTGATGCTGCTGGTGAGAACAGACTGCTGCTTTTTATACTGACTGAGTAAGGTATTGTCTTATTGTTCCTCTGCCTGTTGTCTCATCTCTTGAGACAGCCCTTGAGCTGCAGGGCTCACAAAAGACGTGACAACACCTGAAGACAGACAAGGAAACAATGAGGAAATACTTGTTCCACACAAAAGACTGTCATTTTCTCATGCTGTTTTACTCCTTGCTGTCAGGGTTTATTTGAGAAGCATGATCACAGCAAAATAGTGTTTCAAGCAGCGCAGTGTTGGTATTGTATATATCTGTGTGAAGCATTTCTTAGGCCCTGGCATTTCCCAGTATTTACACAGGTCTGTTCTGGCAAAATTTGATGTCACTGAGGCATGTCTGGTTTTCTGCTTCCACGCACTCTTCCTACCTTTTTTCAGATTAACCTGGCCTATTGAGTACATCGCCTACCCAATAGCCTTCTCACAATACTTCAACAAAAGTTTGTTCATTTTCACCTCTTTGAATAGTGTGCAATCGCTTCCAGGATCCCTGCCCATCTTGATAATGTCCACTGTACTTCTACCCTAATACCTGTCTCTCTTTCTTTGCCCATCCATTCCTATATCTCTGCCTTCCTAGTTTTGTCTAGGAGTGCATCTGTTCCTGAATCTATGTTTTTTCTAAAGTAGGCTGATGGTTCTTTTAGTCCTCTACCCATATCTCATGCTGACTAACAAATTAATCTTGTCCTGCCTTTCCTTCTGTGGTAGAACAGAGCGAGTGCAGTTTCTTCTCTCAGAACTCAAGAATGAATTCACTAAAGCATAAAGATAGCATTTTAATGCATGTCAAAAATTGCTTTTTACAATGCAAATATGAAACCCAGGGAGAAACGGAGGTCAGGAATTTCGCAGTTTGTCCCAGAGGTGGAATAATGAATTTCTCAGGAAGAAAAGCAATACATTCTTGTGCCTCTGCGTTTAAAGCCAAATCTCTAACAATTATGGATTAGCAGAAAAAAAAGATTATTCCACACCTATTTATCATGAAGTTCTTGCCTCTGAAACATCTGGCACTGACCACATAGGAGACAGGATATTTGGCTGGCTGAAGCATAGGACAATCTGATGTGATCTGGCAGTTTTCCTCTATCCCTTATTGTTCATCAGCTAAAAAGGCAAAACCCTCTTTTTAATACACCTGCCAACTGTGCGGCATTGTTTGTTTTAGGGAGCGATTGCCTTTCTAATTCCTGAAGGCAGTCAGTTTATCCATGAAAGCAAGAGCTTTTATTAGAAGTGGAGCTTGTTTGATTTGTTCTAGAAGCAGTTATATTGCTGTTGCTGGAGCTACCTTTTTTGGTGCTCACTACAAGATTGCTCAGGTTTTTTATGCAGTAAGAATAATTCAGATTGGTACAATAGTAACACTAGAAAACTTACATAAGCTGCACTGGCACATTAGAGGGAACACAATAGTTTAACTTTTGGGGTCTTTGTCCAGTAGTCTTAATAATCCATTCTTGTTAAATTGACAGCATAAAACTAATTACTTTGCATTGGCATAAATGGGCCTTCTGATCTTTGCTAAACTGAAATTTAATAATGAAGTTTATTCTGTTGGTTAATGTGGTAAAGACAGTTCATGTCACAAGGTAGATTTTGTGATTTCTGAAACTTGTACATTTTTGTAATATTACCTAGGTTTTTCCTCAGCCCTGAATTATATACAAATACAAAATAATAAATGAGCCAAGAAGTTATTTGCACCTGCCCTGCTGAGGCTTGAAACCAAACTGAGGGGGTGGTTGCTATTTTAAGCATTTGTTGTTTTTGAATAAAACCCTTGTACATTTTGTTAATGCCTCTGGTACAATAGCCTGCTATAGTCTGAGGAGTGAATGTTCACATTTTTCGCAGTTTCTAGTGTGTATGGAGGATTTCTAGAACCAGTATCTCTGGGGGCTGATGGATTTTTTCAGAAAAGGTATTTCAAGAGGAGCAATGAATCAATGAATAAGGTTCAGGTCCAGTGGCACCTTTAAGACCAACAAAGTTTTATTCAAGATATAAGCTTTCATGTGCATGCACATTTCTTCAGATACATTGAAAAAGTCTGTATGCACACGAAAGCTTATACCTTGAATAAAACTTTGTTGGTCTTAAAGGTGCCACTGGACTCAAACTTTGTTCTGCTGCTTCAGACCAACCCACTTGAATCTAAGATAACTGAATGAACATTATTCACTCCACCCTCCAAATTACCAGTCTCTCAGGATGCTATGCTCTAGGATGCTATGTGAACCTTCAAGTGCTTGTTTGATACTGTAAAATTTTCTTCCCAGTCATCTGGACAGGTCTGTGGTCTGTTGGATTCTGTTTCCTAGCTCATCAGTGGAACCGGTCCACTCACCACTACCTGCTGGGAGCTAGTGCTGCACGGGCTAGCATCACCTTTGCCTTTTTCTCCATTCCATGCTGGGTGAGTCAGTCAAGTATCCCCTTTTTATTACAGTGTAAAGGGACCACCTATTGAGAAAGCTATGGAGGAAGGGTATAGTCCTGCAGAGCTGCAGTAGAAGCAATGACACCTTCATCTTACCAGAGACAAAACCAACTTCTTCCATGAAGCAGGTCATACCAACCCTAGTCACTATAGCAGATAAGGGAGGCAGAAGGGGTTAGTGTTTTCCCTACTATGTAAGATTACTTATCTGTTCGAAATGCTACACAAGTAGCTAAACTAATCCTCTGTAGCATGCCCAGATAATACTAAAACTGAGCCAAGACTAAACTAGTATCCTATTGCAGTGTCATTGCACATGAGTTGGAGTTTGTGTTTAGAGTGACTGCCAAATTGACTCACAGTGGCAGGGTACGTTATCACATTAGTCACAGCAAATGAGAGACAAAAAGCATAGTTAAGAATGTCTTATTACTGGTCTAGAGTTGGTTTTGGTACCATTTTGAACAGACAGTTCAGAACAACAATCCATTGACTAGAATAGGAAATTAGACACATATTCAGAGCAGGCAGATTGGCTGCTAGTAAAATTCATTCAAGAAAAGCCTTAAAGCACACACACAAAATAGGATTATGTAGGTCAGCAGCTTCTCAGTCTTCGACATTGACCTGTTATATATGGCAGTGCACGCGCACACAAAAATTCCTTTCTGATCTTTCTTATCTCAAAATCTTAATTGGTTAGAAGGGATATATTTTAGGAACTCCTGTTGCTAGATAACATCTTTTCTAACCATACAGCTTAAGGAAATTGGTAGGCAGGCTATACCAGTAGTATGATTTTTTAAAACAGTATTTGGTGTGTCATGCCCTCCTAGAGATAGATCCCAGAATCCCCTGTGACAATATAAAATGTTAAATCTCTCAGATTGCACAGTGGGAATTTCTAAAGAGCCAGTTTGGTGTAGTGGTTAAGTGTGCGGACTGTAATCTGGGAAAACCGGGTTTGATTCCCCATTCCTCCACTTGCACCTGCTGATGTGACCTTGGGTCAGTCACAAGCTCTGACACAGCTGTCCTTGAAAAAGAGCAGTTTGTGTCAGAGCTCTCTCAGCCCCACCCACCTCACAGGGTGTCTGTTGTGGGGAGGGGAAGGGAAAGGAGTTTGTAAGCTGCTCTGAGACTCCAAGTGAAGGGCGGGGTATAAATCCAATCTTTTCTTCTTCTTCTTCTTCTAAATTAATCCTGGAACCAATGGTGTGTCTAAGTCTCTAATGTCACATTACAGAACATACTGAAGTACACCTCTTAGTTTATATGAAGCTTTCATCTTAATGCAGGATGAAAGCAGTGGAATGGCATTCACAATGCTGGGGAGGGAGAGGAAGACCACTTTTTAAAAAAATTAGTTGTGAGTTGCATGTTTCAAATGGGCTCAAAGGTAGGTCCTGGTGTCTACAAATTAAAGGTATGTTGGCTAAAGGATTATGAAATATATTGCATGCTAATTCAGCCTTCCAGAAAAGACAGCAAGAGAGGATGCACAACGTTGAAGAACTTAGCCTGTGTGCTAAGTGGCAGAAATCATGACAAGCATAGACCCCATTTTGGAGACCTTGGCTGGGATGGCGGGGTATAAATTTGATAATAAATAAAAATAAATAAAATTTTGGTCAACATGATTAGATAACTTCTAGGTCTGTGCTGCTAATCCCTGCTGAAATAATTGGACCAATACCACAAGCCTATTTTTGGTGCAGGTACAGGTGCAGGTACAAATAAGATGCTTCTTTAGAACACAAACACAAAGAAAACAGGGAGGATTTGCCAATTTCCTGTCATACTCTTAAGGCCGCAGTACATTTCCAGCAATTCCAGAGTGTGTTGAGAAGCTGCCTGAGGAGTGAGCTCCTTCAGAACATGTTTATTCGTTCATTCCTTGTGGAAGTAGGTGACTCACACTTCCCATCAGCAAGCTGCAGAATTAATCAGGAGGAGCCTTCACATAAGAGCAGTTGCAGGCCTTCATTTATAAGCTGGCACAGAACAAACCAGAACAATTCAGAACTCGGTCCAGCCCATTGGCTTGAGTACACTAGATCAGGAAGGCTGAGCAGTTAACAAAGATTTTAACTCTAGCAGGGATAATTTGAAACAGCTAATCTGACCTCCAGTCAAGCACAGGGCAATTTAATTCCCTCTACTTACCATAGCAGCCAAATAAGTTGAATTTGCTGAAGGCACACTTTGATCATAGTCTTATTTACAACACAAATGAGAAACTGGAAGATTTGCTGTCAGTTTCGGAAGAGGTAGTTACAATTGTAGTACATTTAAGAACAACGACAAAAACAGAAAAATTGAATTGGCTGTCTTATTTTCAGGGGTTTTTTTTACATTTAATGTTTATTATTTAATGTTCAATATTCTCAGGCTTCCCAGAAAAACCACAGCATTTTCTTACTGAAGAACAAAATAATCCATTACCTGGCTTCCCCATATCACTTTATATTTGTAAATGCCCACTGTGTTTTTAGAAAGTGGGCTGGTTATGATATAATGCTGACAGTGGCTTTATGTAAAGTACTTTACCCATACAAATAGCAGAGTGATCTTCTAAAAACACAGTGGGACTTGATTCTGAATAAACACAGTAGGGCTGCATGGCTAAAATGCTTCATGTACCTAATCTGAACTTCTGGTAAATTCATCAGATCTTCCCAATTTTCAGCATAGAAAAATTAATAAAACTTAAAAAAAAAAAGATCTTCCCAATTTTAAACTATTTTTATGATTCAGGTAGAAGTTAATAACATCACTACATCAAATCTTGTTTACTTTTCAAAAGCCATTTATGTTATCAAAATCCGGCCAGATTCTCTCTCTTACTGTGCACATGTACAAGGAGCTCTCACCAGCACTGAAGAAACATTTTTCCTTTCCCTTTTGCATGTGCTAGATGCCTGCAAAATGAAGACAGTACTGCCAGATGACAGCTAGCTCCATACATTTACTTATTTTGTGTGTATGCAAGAAAATATTTTAAACAATATGCTAATTTTAAAAGGCATCCTGCTTAGCAGAGCTTCTACCTGAAATGTTGAAGAGTTATGCTTAATTTCACTCCAATTTTGTGGTTGGCTCAGCCTTCTGTGGCAGCCATTTCGTGGTTGTGCATGCCACCCTGTCCCAATTCTGCAGGCACCCTCAGACTCAAAAAGGCTGGGGACTCCTGCACGAGAGCGACTAGTGAACTAAACACCCTTTCATACTTGCAGCTGGGTTGATCTGGCTACAATAGCTGTTTTAAGGTTATCTGATAAAGGAATCTTGTACTCTTGAAAACTCACCCCCCCTCCCCAAAATCTTGCTGGTCTTTAAGGTGCTACTGGACTCAAATCTAGCTCTTCTAGTACAGACCAGCATGGCTTACCCTGTGAAACTATGTTCTAAGGTTATAATGCATTTGACTAATCAGTTGATGGTATCTCAGGAATTTGATGGCTTTTTTGTCCAACACTTATGAAAATGCACATTTTACCCAATTATTATTTTGAGCACAAAAGACTTCCAATTTACCCAAGCATTATCATTAGTTGAAAACTTTTTTTAAAATGCCCAGAAATTGTCTATATAAAATCAAAAACCTTTTTTCTACCTTGGCTTAATTTTTTCTAAAGAAATAATGTTATCCATTTATGGTTTGTGTTTCTAACAGAAAATGCTTTTGTTATAAAACAAACCACATTCTTGGAAGAGTTAATATTAGCTATTTACCATGCACTGTTATGCACAGAACTTCACAGGATGTCCTCACGGTAATAATTTTTAAATGCCAAAATATAGTGATTAATCTAAGACTAACTCTCAGTAATCCAGTTTTTCCAGAAACCAGCATTAATATTCTTGCCAATTAGCCCATACTCAACTCTCTTATTAATTTATGTTCCTGAACCCTGAAGTTTATCAGCAGGGGTGGTGGTCAACCTTTTGTGTAGTTAAATACAGTGCCTGACCCACCTCCTCTTCTCCCTCCAGGTGTACCTGGCCTGCCTTGCTCTGAAAAACCTCTGGGCTGAGCCACCTATTCCCTACAAGCGGTCTTTGGATGAAGGATCTGTTGCATTGACCACCCTTTCCTCTTCCACCACCACCACCTCGTTTCCCAGCAATGTGGGGTACCCTGAGAACGTGGGTACTGCCTCTTACCCATCCACTCCTGTGCCCAACCGACTGACCTTAATGAATTCTGATGCCTAGGCAATTATTTATTCATGCAGTGAATAAAGAGAGAGAGAGAGAGAAAATCCATTGCTTTATCAGAACATTCATAATTTCTGATATATAAGCTTGCCACTGCTAAAAACAGTATGAAAGTTAGAGGAACAAGAAATAAACAAGAGTGATGCCCAGGATCATTCTAAAAGGGAGAGGAAGAGAAAAGACAAGAGCCAGCCCACATGCTAAATAACATGGCTCGGCTTTGCAAAGTCAGGGGTGGTCACTCACTTCCTGCTCAACTTGTCCAAGCTCTTACTCAAGTGTTGCAGCATATACCAGATACATCCCTTTAAAACCAGCACAAGCAGTCCAGATAGATGCACAGAGACCTTACAGCCTGAGAAGAGAACTAAGAAATACATGTGTGCAATTGCCACAGTACCATGCTGTGTTATCCCAGCTGAAAACAGCAGTATAGAGTTTTGCAGGCTAACAGGCCAGGACATCCATCCATAATAGTGCCAGGAAAAGCAGTCAGCTGTCAGCAACTGCTGCTTACCTCAGTCAAGGAAAAAACAGCCAGGCTTCTGCTGAGGAGTCCAGGTATACTCCTTCTCTTACTGGATTGATACACTCATATAAGACAGATGCTTATTTCTTTTAAGAAATTCTTCCTATATATGGGATTGTGTGGAAAAATTTAAGCATAGAGCAGGCTATATGCATGGGTTTTACCACAATCATGGTGGCATTTTTGCTAGTTGGTGATTGCCACAGGCTACATCACCCATCCAATTCCACACAGATATTTCTCTATGCAGTCTCTTGGACAAAATAAATGGCTAGCTTAGACATGCGAACCACCCTACAGTGTCAAATTACCCATTAATGAT